AAAGAAGGGAGGAAGGAAAGAAAGGAAGAAAGGAAGAATGACGGAGAAAAAACACAATGAAAAGGAAGAAGAAGAGAAAAAGAGTCAAGAAAAGAAAGAGAAAGAGAACTATAGTTTTTATATTTTTTGAAACTTCCGCCCACCGGCTTCGCCGGCTCTACTGGTACGGCGCCTTGGAAAGCAACGGCGGCCCTTTGGGTCGAAATGTAGGGAGGGCCTGCATCTTGCACTCAAAGTGGGAATATCTTTCAAGTGGCAGAGTCATGGCTGAGATTGGCGTGACTACTTTGTGAAGAGGATGCCCCTGGCAACTCCTCAATTATCAGTATAGTACTTATTTGCCAGTTCATTCCTGCCGCCAAATGCACGAATGTAGCAACCCGAACCCTTCACAGGCTCTTTCATGTCTAGATGCATGTGAGCTTGACCAACAGATCCTGTGGTCAATTTGGGAGGAACATGGAGGCGAATACTAAATGTCAACCACCAAGCCTGGGTGTGGAGGTAGTGCATCCAGGTCGGGCCCGTTTCTATCCAATATCGTGGACATGGTGCTGAAACATGCTGAAACCCCAATCCGACCTGATGGTCTCATGTCGGCGAGCAAATCTTCTGCCCATTCTGCACACATTGGATGTGTCTTTTTAGGGAACCCCCGCTCTGGCTGGTTTTAAAGGGAAAGCAAAAGGAAACCGTCCCCGTTCTGCGACACATTCATGGCAAATGACTCCCAAACTGGAAAAATATGGGCCAGACCCATCTGCGTGACCTCAAGCTCGGTTTACCGCTCATTTGTGAAAATACATCAGCCTTCTCTGTGCCTACACTAAAAAGGCTGTGGTAAAACGCGCTTCCAAGGGCCAAAAAGGGCACACACAAAGATGCGCCGCGTGTAGTAACGTTTGTTGCCGGAAGCCTTTATCTTCATGGCAGTGGTAGCACAGAAACGTGGCAACAAAGAAACATGCCACGAGTTTTTGAAGCTGGAAGAAAGTTCCAACAAATCTTAACACGCTGACATGGGTCTGTCTTTTTTTCGGAGTATCCCTTTTTTGGTGGTTTCAAAGGAAAGCCAAAAGGAAATCCCCCAGCTGAAGGGTTCCCCAATTTTAAAGACAAACCCACATGCTTGCCAGCTTCCAGAACCCGGGCACTCCAGCCCGCTTTTTTTGCACCTCCAATGTCACAGTACTGGTAAAGCCAACCGAGCGAGCTCGGAAACCCTCCAACCTTGTCTACAAAGGCGTGAAAAAGGGAGAGGGGCCCTTCCAAAATGCACATCCTGGCAATGATGGGAAGGCCCGCGCCCCTTCTTGCCTAAGGGAACCCCATGATATATTGTGGCTTCTCCTTAAAGCCTTCCTGAAAGGGGGTTCCCTAAAAGACACACAACAGCAAATCTCGCTCAAAGGTGCCTCCACCTCCTCCACGCCAGCGATGCAGTGCTCTGACATCAATGCCTCAGGCGATGGAAGTGATGTCAAAAATCGCCGGTATGAACAAGACAACATCCATATGGCTATGGGTCAAAATAGGTACCCTACATGGAACTTTGGTACATGGAAGAAGCATGGGCCAAAACCTGCAGTCCAAATCCTGGTGGTTCAATGTTGACCCATACCGATATACCCAGTGCGGTTTGATTTTGACGGACACAAATGATACATGGCTTAGTTGGGCTTGTCTCAAAATCAGGGGGGTTCCAAATGGCAACGGCTTCCTTTTGGCTTCCCCTGGACCAACCCGACCAAAAACGGACATTCCCCACAAAAAAGAAAGACACCCAATTGGAGCAATGATATTGAACACCCATTTGGAAACTGACAAGGAGAGGCGAGGCACCAAAGGAAGACTTATAACAGGGCATGTCCGCAGGGGTTTGGGGAATCTCAAATCTGTGAAACTGGCGACCACGAGTGTTGGAAGGTTGGTTGGTTGTTTGGTTGGTTTGGTTGGTTGGTTGGTTTGGTTGGTTGGTTTGGTTTGGTTTGGTTTGGTTTGGTTTGGCTTGGTTTGGTTTGGTTTGGTTTGGTTTGGTTGGTTGGTTGGTTGGTTGGTTGGCTTGGTTGGTTGGTTGGTTGGTTGGTTTGGTTGGTTGGTTGGGTTGGTTGGTTGGTTGGTTTGGTTTGGTTTGGTTTGGATTGGTTTGGTTGGTTGGTTGGCTGGTGGGTTGGTTGGTGGGTTGGTTGGTTGGTTGGTTGGTGGGTTGGTTGGTTGGTTGGTTGGGTTTGGTTTGGTTGGTGGGTTGGTTGGGTGGGGTTGGGTGGGGTGGGGCGGAGTGGGGTGGGGTCGGGTTGGGTTGGGTTGGCTCCTTGCTTAGTTAGTTTGGTTGGTTTGGTTTGGTTTGGTTTGGTTGGTTGGTTGGTTGGTTGGTTTGGTGGTTGGTTGGTTGGTGGGTTGGTGGGTTGGTGGGTTGGTGGGTTGGTGGGTTGGTGGGTTGGTGGGTTGGTGGGTTGGTGGGTTGGTGGGTGGGTTGGTGGGTTGGTGGTTTGGTGGGTTG